AACCTTGGTCCGACTCGGTCATAGCGGCACCTCACACCACCACTACGTTGCTCATTTCCCCACCGTGCTCAGAAATGTCGCTTCACTTAATTCGCAAGCATGAATTTGATCAATTTGTGGCTACAGCAGAACTGACCACTTATGCCGTGGATCCGTTATACGCCGTGTTTTCCTCTTCACATCACAGAACAAGGAACGACTAGCTTGATCATCTATAGTCCAAGATTCGATCATACGATCAAGATGCACGGCGATATCTTCATCAACTTTCATAAGAAAGCGTGCCGAAGGACAGTATCTTTGATGGAAGACAAGAGAAGCATACACCTGTAACTTCACCAAAAAATGTGTATTAGTTAACTTGACACCTACTTACCTTTAAGAATAAATTTTCGTAGGTTTCTGGCAAATCTGTCACAATCAAGTCATTATATTTGACTTGCTCTTTCTGCACTTTGTATACATCATAAATAGATGCTGGAGACGATAAAATGAAGAACACCACTACGCGACCGGTCTAAAGCATAGTTCAAACAAGGATGACACCTGGAAGAGCAAAAAAGAAACAGAAAATAATGAAACTTCATTGAAAAGAACTTTGACGCGAGCTTCTCTTATACATAAGCTTCATTTTAGAATAAATGTGCTTCAGCTACGGCTGGAGGCTCACAGTAAAGAGGTGCGCTATTTCCCTCAAGCACAAGTTACTCCCGGAAGCTGCACTGGTTTGTAGCTAAGCCAAAGTTATCTGCTATGTCAGTTTAGTAGATATTGGTTCTGATTAATAAATCGAGCTTACCTTAATAGAATCCGAGTACTTGGCAGATGCCCAGCTTTCGCGGATGGCCCGACGGAGTTCACTATGGCTTGCAACAGACAAGACAGTGACCACCATAAGAGGTTCTCTATAATTCGTTGCACCAATAGGCGGTTAAGATAGCATTCTGGTGAGATTTTGGACACTTGAACTGGTTGCAATGAAATGACTTCCTTGACTATCAAGCTAAACTTGATGGTAAAAGTGTAGAATTTATTAAACTTATTAACTTCTCCAGTCGGTTTGCACTGATCAAGTTAAAAAGCATAAGCAGGTTTATTGCTGAAAATAAGTCTGATATAATAAAAGAAACTCACCTTTCTCGTGAATCATGGCATAGGGACAAGTTCGGCAAGATGGTGTACTTGTAGGAGGGAGTGAAATCCGCTAAGCTTACTTTGTGTTCCGCTGAGTATTGAACACTTCTTTTATGGAATATTCTGAGGAGACTGATCTTCAGGAGGAGACAATCTGGAAAAAGAAGTCGTGCTGAACTGCAAATGTGTCACGTTATTTCACCCCTTCAT